TGCTAAACTCTTCTGGTAACCTCCAAGAATCAGCCAATGAACACTTCTTTATAAACTTCCAGCCCTAGATAGTTCTCATGTGGTCGGCTGGACTAGACTCACATGAGAAACCCTAGATAGGCTCTGATACCAAGTAGGCGATCAAGACTACAATCAGCCTTGAATCCTAATGGATTTCAGATTAGAAAAGGTAGAGGAAAAGTAAGAAAAAGAAAAGAGAGGAGAAGAACAGGAGAACACAAATGTTTGAAAGGAGGGACAGATTCACCAATTGATCTGCCGCCGCAACTCTCTTACTATTTATAGGTTATGTTCAGTACATAGAGGAAATGACAGATCTGCCCTTAATACTTACATGACAAATAAAGCAAATAACAAACTGAAATAAATAACAACTGAAATAACAATCCGACCACCAACTAACACAGTGGGGACCACAGCTGTGAGGCCCACATCAGTGTTCTCTACACTTCTCATCTTACACGTAGTATAATTGTAAGTGCAAATATATCAGTAGCAGATACGTTTTTGTTAAAATAAAGATCACATATCAACATAGCAGCTTTGCTGCCCCTCTCTGGTAAGCAATACATGTATTATGCTAATAAAACCATGAAACAAATACAATAAATAATATTCTAACATATTGAAGGATGTAATCCAGTTAAATTAAGAAATCAACAATAACAGAATAATATTATCATAGATCTATACTATGTACTCCAAATAGTTGGATAAATCTCACATGAGGGTAAAGATTGTAACAAGATTATATTACCTGCTTAAAGATTCCTGAAGCTGATTAACTTTTCCTTCTGTTTCACTCAACTTCTTCTGTTTTTCTTCACTTGATTCTTGAGCTTCAGCACATTTCTTTTCAAAATCATCAGCCCTTTCCTTTTCTGATTGCAACAAGTCCTGGGAGGGATAAACCCCAAGTCAATATCAACCAAAATAAGATCAAAGGAATGCCATGCTGGGAAGCATATTCTCTGGTGAAGATAAAAATGCCAAAAAGAGAAAAAATCCTGCTCATGATTTGATAAGTTGCTGATGGTACGTGAACCACTGAAATGACTATAACTTAATTCCATTTGGTGGTGTCAGCAGTCTTCTTCTACCAACTTTGAAGAGCAGCAAGATGTTTTCTGATGGTGTCTATGAATTGATACTTGGCTCTGATACCAAGTAGTGATTTCGACGTTAAAGAATAATAGAAAAGGAAGAAAGAATGAGAGAAAGAATTAGGGCACAAGAGTGTCAGATCCACGCCACACGAAATACCTTTATATTAGATCTCAATAATGTAGGTAAAATTACATTAGCACCCTCCATTAGTTGGAAGACAACGATCTAGTGTAAAACACCCTATGCTAACATCCCTAAAACATGATAAATATTCCTTCTTAATGAAAACTCTTATCCTTTCAAAAAAAAACACAAAAAATGTAAAGGGTACAATGAATCTTGGTGCTGAAAAACACTTGAACAATTCAACAACACACATATTCAGGATGAAGTTCTATGGTGTATTTTTTTTGTGGATGACATTGTTTTAATTAATGAAACTATGAAGGATTAAAAGCAAAGTTAAGCTTATGGACAAATGCCTTAGAAACAAGAGGTTTTAAAATAAGGACTAAAATAGAGTATATGACATGTAAATTTAGTAATAATAGGAGTGTAAATCAAGGTACACTTAGGATTAGGGACCAAGGGATAACTCAATGGGACCATTTCCAGTACCTTGGTTCAATAATTCATAACAAGGTAGAGATTGAGGAGGATGTCACCCAAAGAATTAGGGCAGGATGGGAAACATGGATGGGTGCATCTGGGTTTTTATGTGATTGGTGAATACCACTTAGATTAAAAGGAAAATTCTATAAAACAGTCGTAAGGCCATGTTGAATGGAGCAGAGTGTTGGCTGGTCAAGAAACAACACGTCCAGAAAAATGAATGTAGAAATGCGAATGATAAGATGGATGAGTGGAAAATAGGATTATGAATGAAGTTATCCGTAGGAACGTAAGAGTAGCTCCGATAGGTGATAAAATGAGAAAGAGAGTAGACTAAGATGGTTTGGAAACGTGCATAAAGACCATCAACTGCGCTAGGTAGAAGAAGTGATTCGTTATACATTGAAGGGGCTAGAAGAGCTTGAGGTAGAACAAGGACATGGGTAGTAGTAAGAAGTGATTTAAACACTAATAATTTAATAGTGGATATGGCTTTAAATAGAACGGATTGGTGAAATAGGATTCATGTAGCCAACCCCATATAGTTGGGATAAGGCATGGATGATGATGATGAATTCAACAACACACATCACCAAGGACCTTCAACCAAAACAAATGTTCAGATCCAATGTTTCTCTAGATATTTGAATTCTTCCTAGTAACATTCAAAACAAGTGTGCCCTTGGAATCAACCCCAAAGGACATATAACTCAAGAGGTTTTAATTTCCATAGTAATAATAACATCTCCACCAAATACCAGTCAATAGACCATGAACTGACACCCTAAAGTAGGGCAGGTATAAGTTCAAAAAACAAATTGGTGCTTATGGAAATGTCTTCTGGGAAAAAAATTAATTTTTGCAATTTACTCCAAAGGAAAAGAACTAATTGGTGCTTATCCCCTCATGGTGTGTTATGTGTAAGGCTAATGGAGAAACTTTCTTTCACTTATTCATCTCCTACCCCTTTGTAACTTTTATTTGGGAGTGGTTTTTCCTGTTGTTTGGGTGCAGGTGGTCTCTCCTGATTAATGTGCAAAGCTTGTTTGCTTCTACTTTCTTGAGGTGGCCAAAGAAAAGGGGTCGAGTGTTATGGAAATGTGTTAGCGTTGCAGTGGGCTGGACCATTTGGGAAGAAAGGAATTCAAGACTGTTTTCAGGCAAGGAAAGAACCAGAGAGGTTGTCATTGAAACCATCATGGTGAGAGTGGTTCATTGGGTTAAGTCTATGGAGATGTCAACTGATTTCTCAACAGGTGACATCATGAAAAATTGGAAGTGGCTAGTTCTGATTGTCATAAGTCCAATACTAGCCCTACTTAGCCCCCACCAATGAGTGACCATATCAAGTTGAACTTTGATGGGAGTAGTGTAGGTAACCCGGGTCCCTTTGGTATTGGAGGGGTGTTTAGATTTAGAGATAGTGAAGGCAGAATTATTGGTCTATTTTCAGGCCCAATTGGAGTAGGTGACTCTTTAAAGACTGAGGTTGTGGATGTCATGGAGGAACTGCAAAAGGCAAAGGACATGAAACGTAAGAAAGATGATTATAGAAGGTGATTCAAAGCTATTAGTAGAGTGGTTGCAAAAGGAAGGAAAGGGATTTGGGTTTTTAATAATGAAAAGAAGAGATTCAAGTGGTTGACACAAAATATGGATATGAAATTAAGTTGTATCAAAAGAACTACTAATGGGTTTGCCGATGTATTAGCAAAACAAGGGGTGGGGAGAAATAACTTGTTTTGGGTTCAGTTGTAATAGAAAATTTCTTTGTGGAGAGTTAAGAAGTTAATCTCTACCATCCATGTAATTATTTTTTTTATATTTGTAGAGAACATTGATGTGGGCCCCACAGCTGTGGTCCCACTCTGTCCGTAGGGTAGAATTTATCTAGTCACAGCTGTGGTTATTTTGCTGTTCTGTTATTTCTAGTTTCAGTTTTATATTGGCTGTTATTTGTTAGCAGTTATGATGTAAACACCAAGGGCAGATATGTCTTTTCATGTAACTAGCATAACCTATATATATTAACTTAAAGTGGCGGCGGCAGAATATTGACATTCTGTTCTTCTCCTCAAAATCTGTGTTCTATTGCTCTTCCATCACTCTTCCTTCTACATCTTCTTCACTTTCTCTTCTCATCGAACCTGAAATCTCTTAGTGATCAAGACTGAATAGCAGTCTTGAAAACCTACAATATTTTAATGAAATTCTGTTATTGATCAAAAAAACTTCCTACCTTTATAAAAATTTGTAGGTGATCAATCAATGTCTGAGTGCCACCTAGAAAACAGCCCCTAGTGGCCACAATCAAGATTGAAGCTGATATCTGATATTTCTTGGATATTTTTTTAGGAGAAATCTCTAGGATAACTTCATAGGCATCACAAAATTCTGAAGAATGCTCTAAAAGTCCTTAAAAAACAAGCAAACAAAAAATAATACAACTAAAAGCACATAATTATTATTTTTAGTAAAATAAATTACTATCAATAGTAAATTTTAGAATTTCTGTTTGTAGCACAATCATATCCAATAACTCCAAATGTTGATTGAAATCCCAAGACTCCAAAAGCCAAAGAAGAACTAAATGAAGGTTGGCCAAAAACCTTCATCTTCAGATAAGAAGAAACAAATGGTAATCTGGGAACCACCAATGGGTGATTTTTTCAAGTTGAATTTTGTGGGAGCTATCTTGGCAATCCGGGTGCTGCTGGAATGGGAGGGGTGAGAAGAAATAGTGAAGGAAAATCGGTGTTCTTGTATTCTGGGCCTATAGGGCGAGGGGACTCAATGGGTGCAGAACTAAAGGCAGCTGTATTTGGGGTCCAAAAGGCATGGAGATAGGGATCGGGAAGTTAGTGGTTGAAGGAGATTCAAAAGGTGATCATTAGCTGGCTGAAAGATAACAATAAAGTTCCATGGTATTTCAGAAATGAGGCTAAGAAATTTAAAAGATTTTCAAAAGATATGCAGGCGAATATGCAATGGGTACCTAGATCAGTAAACAGCTTAGCTGATTATTTTGCTAAGCAAGGGGTCAGTAGAGGGAATTGTTTTTGGGCTCATCTGTAACTGTAAGAATATGGTATTGCTATTATCCTAAGAGTTTGAGGTAGCTGAGGCTATTCATATTATTGTAAATTTTTTCCTGAATTAATAAAAGATTTTTTCTGTTACTGATAAAAAAAGGTTGGCCAAAAACAATTAATATTGTTGTTGGAATAATTTAGTCAATTTAGTCCCTTATTCTGTCTAGTTTATTTCTGCTTTGTTCTGTTAGAAAACTTTGTCTTTTTTATTATGTTTATAAGATGTAAGTGTTACAAGTGTACAAGGGTCTTTTCCCTTACTTTTAAGTGATGCCCTATATATAATAACATACTCTGGTGCCGCCAGAATGTATTCTTCTCCCGAACTCTTTCTCTTCTCCTCTCCCCTCTCTTCTCTCTCATCTCTCCTCTTTCCTCTCGGTTCTTCTATTTCTTCTCTGTTAATATGGTATCAGAGCGATCCTATTGGGCTTGAGAGCAGATCGAACAAGATTTTTTCTTTCTCTTCCTCTGCTGTCTTCTCCAGACTGAGATCAAGAAAGCAACCTTCGACTGATACAGAAGACTTTTTTATCTGTTTTCCTTTTCCTCTTGGTCGTGTACCAAGAAAAGACCTATGAACTGAGACATCCGAATGCTGTAAGAGGGGCTGTGAAGTTCAGACCTCCTTTTCTGTGGATCGTGTGATCCTGTACTTAGGATGGAACATATGTAGGTCATGGGTGACCTGTTTTTTTGCCTTTTTTTTGAAGTGATGACACTGTTTATGATCTCTCCTCACAGCTGGTGTGTCTAGATGATCTGGAAGATCAGTGGACTATGACTATTAAGTCTGTACTGCACTGAAAGCAATCTAATTTGGTGCTGGTCTGTGTTCAGATTGTGTCCAGACTGGAGTGTGTGCATGTGGGCTGCACTTCTGGGTGTTTCTAGGACTTTTTTTGTGTGTGTGTGTGTCAGGAGAGATCTTAGGGTGTGTGTTAAAGTTGATTAGTGATCAGAATCATGTCCTCTGAAAATTCTGCAACTTCTGGGATTTCTGGATGTCAAAAAACAGAGTGAGCGGGGAGCTGGACATGAGCCTATGGCTGTAATTCCCTTTGATAGACTAAATTACCTTGAATG